CCATGGAGGTATGGGTATTTTATTTAGGGAGATGAGGTTTTTTTGCTTATTTTGTTGGTCATTCTAAGAATACGAGAACTCCAGATTATAAATGGAGTGTATCTGAAAAGTTGATTGCTAAGCTAGTGATTTAGAATTTAAAGTGAACTTTTCCATAAAAACAATGACACAAACAGAAACAAAATCAAAAGTAATTAGCTGGAAAAGAGCCAGAGGCTACCTTCCTGCTGTCCTTTCTGCTTGCCAGGCTCACTAGGTGTTCAGAGTCTCGGCAGCCACATGAATGTTGAAGGGAATTGCAGGCGGCAGCAAAGGCTCCTTCCTGTCTGGTCCGGAACCATGGTGCTGTGCGCTTGAGCTCAGTAGCTCCAGAGACACCTGACTTGTTCCAGCTCTTAATTTTGTCAGCACTCAATTTTCTGGATCCCTTTATATTTCTATTTCCTTCACAGAGTTTTGCCCTTTCCTGATAATTTAATGAAGAGGTTTTTTCTTGGGTTATTTCCCAGGCTAAAGGCTCCTCCACATGCATCCTTTCCCCCCACTGATTTTTCTTTGCACTCCTGTCTGAAAGGCTCATTCTTTTCCACCAGTGTGGAAGCCTCTCACATCAGTTTTGACTGTACAAAATCTATCGTTGGCTCATTGTTATTACAGTATCATATCAAAATGTATCTGTATTTTGGTATCTATTTCATGTAATATTGAGACACTGGCATTTATGTAGTGTTTTTTTAATAAATAAGATAACATCATTTTTACAATTTGCCCTGAGTTGCTACTCCATTTGAGACAAAACTAAAGTTCTTTTATTCTTCTGGCCATATTCTCTCCAGGTAGCATGATTAACAGAAAAGGCCTGGGTTAAAATCAAATATCCTAAGAAAGAAAGACTTGAGACAATAGATCAAGTACTACAGATGAAGGAACTATATCAGGTTTGATGTAGGAGTCAGGCCTCAGAGAGAGATGAGCATGGGAGAAAAGCAATTTCAGAGGATGCCCAAGGAACTGAAGTGACAGGACACAGCTGTTCCATACATGTGCTGGTGATTGTGTACATGAGAGATGATCCGAGTATGTTTGCGATGGTGAATGCCAGGTTTTTTAATGTAGGAGTTTCTGTGCCCTGCTGCCTAACTGGAAGGCTAAACATTCCCAGTCCTTTTATCATAAGTCTGTAATGTCAATGGCATCTGCTTAGATGGGGCTCAGTACAAGTCACACCCTGAATAACCTAAGATGGCCCTTCTTACCTAGAGCCTTGGGAGTTCCCATTATTCTTAAATTGACTCAGAATCATTAACTCTAGCTTTAAGGGCATTATAATGAAAAAAGTAAAGTATATTTTGAAAAATTAAAAATGTAGAAAGATATGAAGAAGAAAATGCACTTGAAATCCCACTCTGGGTAATATTTTGATATCAAATATCAGACATTTGATATTACTACAGTATATTCATCTATCTCTCTCCTTATGTATATACACCTATATACACATTTTAACACGCTTTAATGTAAATAGAATTTTATATCTTCTTTTATCAATTTAGAAGTTTTTGATATTTTTCCATGCTATGAAAATTCTACATGAAAACTATTTTTAGGACTACCTAATAATCAATCCCCTCACAGTACACATTTGAATTGCTTGAAACTCTCTTTTATAAATAATGCTGTGTGAAAATCTCTGCTTATAATTCCTCACACCTATTCCTTGGAAGAGATTTCTAAAAGTGGAAGAACAAGGTCAGTGAGTCAAACTTTGGAGCTTCTTAAACATCACAGAGAATTGCATTCAAAAGAGGTCAGACCCACATATCCACTTCCAGCCCTGGTGTGTGTATAAGAGTGCCAGTTGGAAACCATCCATGCCAGCAATGAGCAATACAATTTATAAATTAATCTTTGCCAATTTAGTAGGCAAAAATTTTCTCTTATTGTTATAAGACATTGCTGAGAAGGTTTACTAAAACATTCTTATATTTATTAGGCATTTGTATTTATTTATAATCATGTCCTTTGAGCATTTTTTTCCTTTTGGCAGTATTATAAGGATATTGACTATAAATATTTTCCCTGCGTGCTGTTTACTTTATAATTTTATTCATGATGTTTTTTATTTAGAAATATTTTAAATTTTTATTAGTCAAAGGAATTTCTTTTTTGGTAATTTCATATACACACACATAAACATGTATCACACATTTCTCAATATATTTGTCTTGTAATTCTTTCTAATCCTACAACCAGTTAACTATATACATATTTTTGTATGTGTTTGTTTATGTTTTATTTAATTCTTTGTAATTAATCTTTTTAAAATTACTTTATGTATTTTGTGAGGTGTGGAACTAGCAATTTTTTTTTTGTAATCATTGAATAATCCACTTTCTCCCTTACTTGACAGTCTAGGCAAGTAGATAAACAACACATACACACAGTATATAATCTATTTAGGATATACTTATTATATAAAATCTATTTATTTAGGATATATATATACTATAAATTTTTATATTTTTGTTGGTATTATAAAAAGAATTTTTTCCATATCTTATTTTTTTGCTACTGATTTCTAGCTATTGATTTTTGTGTATTCAGTTTTTAACTGGATACCTTTCTAAATTTTATTCCAATACTAATAAATACTACTATCTCTTGGACTTGACTCTTTTGCATCTTCTAAGTATATAAGCATCCTATATCTTGTTATATATAAGAATGCTTTTACTTTCTTTCATCGCATCATGATGCCTCATTTCTATCTCTTGCCTTTTGCAGTGCCTGAAAGTTTCAAAATAATGCTGATTCATAGTAATATTTAAGTAAATAAATGAAAGAAACTCTATAGCAGTATTTACCAAATTGTGTTCCACAAGATGATCTATAAAAGATAAAAACAAAAGGCAAAGAACAAAATGGTGACAAGTTTTGCATCTTCTTTGATCTATCAGTAGAAATATGATTAACAGTACACATTCTACGTCAAGAATACTTAGGTTTAAGGTCAGGTGCAGTGGCTCATGCCTGTAATCCCAGTACTCTGGGAGGCC